AATATACAATTTCTTATGTATTGATTATCCTGTCATCTTTCTGCATATTCTTTATGATATTTATTACATTAATAAATAAAGACAAGGAAAGAAAGCCAGATCTTACATCAGATTTTCCCAACCTGGTACCCTCTAACTGTATTGGATTACTACTCCCACATCTCCCATTCCCCACAACAGACAGGAATTTCCACCACCTAACTATAAAGAGTCCCAAATTATACACAGATTATCAACTGAGCCTTGCACTACATTTTTCTTGTGCAAATGTACTTCGAGGAGATTTAAATGAAACAGAGCAATGTGGAGATTGTTGAAACCAGCAACCATTATCTCACTTTACAAAAAGTAGCAAGTGCTCCTTTACACAGAATAGCTTGGGCTGAATGAAAGCAGTGGTGTCTACTCTACAATTAAATGAAATGATCTGTTTCTGATATTCATAACGTTATATCCAGTTTCTTAGTGGAACTTCTTCAGCCTTGTCTTGCAGAATACTTGTGAGATTCAGTTGGTGAAAAGTACCCCTGTAAAACCTTTTCCATGTTCCACAATCTCTCCATAAATTGGAGATGAGGAACCTCTAGCGCACAGGTCTAATGACACCCATAAGGCCCCCCGGTCCAGCCTCCAACATTCTCCCAGGATCTGGCCCCTTTCCTGCTCCCAGCATCCTCTTCAGCTTCATTGTTGTATGCTGGATGAAGAGCTTCAGCTATCCTGCCTGGTGTCTCATGAAGGTGATGAAGATCAGGCTGCCTTCACAAGTCAGAAGCAGAGAGGTCCACATCTTTTCCCAATTGTGTTGTTCTGGCTGGGGAATGTGTTGGTTGTGCCTCCATTACAAATAGCAGGCAAGCTTAAGATGTTGACTGTTTCATTTCCTAAATTTCACATTCGCTTAGGCTGACAGAAGGTATATCCTACTCCAGAATCTACCTTCCTGCACTACGACCTAGATACGGATCAACCACCCACTATTTGTCAAAGGAACAAGAAATTGGATCACAGATCTCCATGTCATCTGATTTACCCATGAACCATTCCCTGTCCCATGCCATTTGCTCTCCACCAGATTTACTGAAGGGTTGTAGCTTGACTGTTGTAGCTCTGCTCTGCTCTTCTCCGTCTCCTCTCAGTAGAGGGAGGAGAGGGACAGTGAGACTTTTATCTTCTGTGGCCAGAAGATGAGATTAGTTGGTCAGGTAATATGACATGAGTCTTGATCATCCCCAACCATAATGCACACCAGGGACAGAACACATGATGTAGCTGCTCTTCACAGTAGAAGGAACTTGTATATAGTGGAGTGGTTAGAAATGCTGGACTGGGACTCAGGAGATCCAGTTCTAATTCCTACTTGGCCATGATGTTCAAAGGGTGACTTTGAACCAGTCACTGCCCCTCAGCCTACCCTATCACACAAGGTCATTGTTGTGAGGATAAAGTGTAGAGGGAGAGAACCTTATAAGTTTTCTTGCATTCCTTGCAAAAGGGAGATAGGATATAAATGCAGCAGCAGCCGCAACAACCCTGCTTTCCACTCCTAGCAGAAGCAATTTTTCAAGTAATTTTCATCATAGTTCTGCATATAGCAGAGTTGGCTTATTCCCCCTCCACATCTTCACCACAAGAAGCTGAAAGGAGACAGAGAAGAAGAACTGAGAAACTATTCCTATACCCTTTAGAACTTTAGGATTATATAACCTGGGCTAAAACTAAAGCAAATGCTCTATGGGAACATGCTTGATTCAGTGGTCACCCACCACAGTCTATGCAAGTGACGTAACTATTTCATATCTACCAACATGCAGGTTCACTAAAACAAATAGTATGATTAGAAAAGGATTGTTTGCCTAAATGGCAGGAAAATGTAAGGGAGATGTGACCTAGAAAAGTCAAATGAAAGTATTATTTCTTGCTACCTGAGGGACAAAACTGAATGGAGGTAATTTCAGTTGGGTAACTGAGCTTTTCACAATGTGAGCACAAGTATATAAAAATTCAAAGTATTAAGCAATCAGTTTTGAACATCATGAATACTGAAGTCTAAAACACCCCTGAGAATTTGCACATGTGTACTAGAAAATTTGGCTTTGGGTTCCCATGTTGTAAACAAAGGATATCAATTTGTTAGGAATATTCTCTTTGGATCTATTTTTATAGTGTAATGCTTATTATCATTGCTTGGTTCCAAAGAAGAGCTCTTTCACAATTCTGATTTTCTGCTGCCATCATGTGGCTGCCATGTTTCAACCCAAGCAAGCAAGTACACAGAGCACCCATGGAACTTTTTCCACTAGTGAATCATAATGACAGGTTAATTAATTAACCACAATATGTCATCGTGAATGACTTAGATTGCTACCCAGGTTAAGTGTGGCCTGTTTAATCATGATTAACATATAGCATCTGGGTCTGAATGTTACACAACAATCACTGATCAATCCAATAGGGGGCTGAATATTGTAAAAGGCTGTGCAATGCACCTGGCGTGCTCCATGGCCAATGGTGGGTTAATTGACCTACTATTTACCACGGTTATGTACAAAGAGCCCCACTGTGTCAGTGTGACATATTAAACTGTGTGGTATTATGATGCATTTACATAAGTCAGTCATGTGGTATTATATTTATTAGGTTGTTTTATATTGTAAGCTGTCCAGAGACGAACTGTGATGGACGCGTTAGAAATACTCCTAATAAATAAATAAACAAACTGTGCTGACATGGGTGTAGGACATACCTGGCTGGCTGGCTGGCTGGCGTTAAACATAGTGGGTTGGTCACGTCCCCAGCGATATCAGTGAAACCAGAGCCAAGCCATGTAGGCAGGGATTGAGCAATGCCTTGCCAGGGCTCCTAGTTGCAGCCTCCCAGTTGAATGTGGGAACTACCTAAATTTAACTGAAGCAATCAGTGCCCACAGCAGGAATTTTAAACCAGTGAACCTCTGTCTCTGCTACCTCGTCAGCAAAGGCATAAAAGTGGAGTGCACCATGTGTTCTGGTCAATTGCTCTTTGGCTTGTAATGGAACTATTCTCAAAAATAAAATCCATATTTTCCCTTTTCATCCTTGTCGTGCTTGATTGAGCTAGCACGTCAAGACCAGATCCCTCATGTCCTTCACAGAAAACACCAAACCGATTGGTGGTCTGCCTCTGTATTGGGATCAATAAGCAGAAGACTTATTGTGATGAGGAGTTGAGTGTGAACTAGTGTCCAGCACAGGCATTAAATGTAGCCATGGGTATGTATTAGGCTCAACTGCTGTGCTAAACCGGTGGGGCCTCAGTGAAGGTCTGAGATCACCAGCCACCAGGCATTGTGAATGTTTTGCTTTATCCTTGAGATAAGGATGTTTACGCAACCTTTTGCTGAAGTTAATTCAGGGCCTTCCCTCACCTTCCCTTCCCTTGTTTCCCAGGTGGTGTAGCCAGCTTGTGTGTACTGGTAGCCTCTGAGACAGAGGGATAGAAGAACTGTATAAACTCCATGGGCAAGAGGTGTTGTTCTTTGGCTTTCCACTTGAAACCAGGAGTGTGCAATGTGTCATGTAACTGGTTTCTGGAAACAACCTTTATTCAGTCAGGAAGTCCTCTAGGCTAAAGGACCCTAAGCCTTGATTCACATTGTGACAACAATCCTACATCTGCGAGCACGTAGGCTAATGAATGGCCACCACGCTGAACACACTACATCACTTCATATGGACAACATGAGGTCAAGGAGGCTCCTTTGCAGGGAGGAGTATTTGGTCCTATAAGGCCTTCAATCAGGTGTAACAGAAACCAATCAGAGGTTTACTACCTCAATGAAAACTAGATAGGATAGATGTGCAATATTTAGGTTTGGGTGTTGTACAAACAGCTTGGGACCTTGTGTGATTTTCTGACCATATATGTCAGAGGTCAGCCACATGACTGTTTTTTGCTGGGCTACTTTTGGATTTGGAGGACCTAGGCACAGTCCTCGGTTTTGTCCCAAGCCTATTTACGGCTGTATCTGCTACATGCTTCTCTCCACCTCACCAAATTGTATTTGCTGTAGTTCTTTAGTGGTTAAGAAATCAGAGCTCCTTGAAAGTCTTGTGACTGTGTCAGCCCCCAGAATGGTCTCCGTATTTCCTGTACTGAAGCAATGAATGACAGTGCTCGTGGACGCAGACGGCCATTTCCACTTGCTATCCATTATTTCTCAAGTATGTTACATTCTTTGTGCAGCTGCCTTCAGAAAGCATAGGGATGATCTCCCTCTACATCACAGATGTATTGAGGCAGAACTCGGCTCTCTTGCTGTCCAGGCAAGTGGCAGGTGTGCCTGTGCTCAGTGGAATGGATTGCTTTTGAGCATTTCCTAGATATTGTTGAGAGAGAGAAGGATGGCTGCTTTGGGCACTTGTTCTCATGGGCTCCTGGCTGCAGTTCAGAAGTTTCAGAAGCAGAATGTGAAGCAGATCAAAAGGGAACTGGGGAGGATGGGGCATGCCGAGACACTGCAACGAAGGAGGCGGGCATGCCTATCTCAAGGCCAGCTATTTGGCAGGGCAGGTAGCTTCTGGGAATAATCAAGAGGTATCGCCTGTAGGTGGGGACTCTGGGAGTGAGGGCTCTCAGATCCACTCCAGATCTTGGCCCTTTGATGAGGTGTCAGCAGAGGTGGATGGCCCACTTAAAGGGCTATGCACCCATGCACAGAGAGGAGGCATGCGTGCTTTCAGGAAGCCCCTCCCAAAAGGATGGACCCCAGGCATGCTCATAAAGAGAGTTCCTGGAGGAAAAACACTAGATCGTGTTCAACAAACCACTCTGTGCATGCTCAGATATTTGTTCCAGGTGATTTGTACCCGGGAGCAATAAGCATTTTGGAAGGAAAATAGTCTGTGGCTTTTGACTGCTTGAAGGAGGAACCTCAGCTCACAACATATAAATGAAGCAAAGAGCACCGATGTCTTTTTTGCCATGTGTGTCACAGATGAATGTTAATGCAGGCTAGAAAATGAAATCAAAAGGCTGCCACTGCAGGCATTTTATTTGCATTATATACAGATATAGGGAAAACCAGTTTGAGCTTCATTGTGAAAATATACTTAATCATTGTAACCTCCCAGTTTAAATCATTATGACTTTCAGTGAATCAAAGCTGAGTTTTGGTTTCCTCTTGGTCTAAAGATTTGGTCTAAAATAAACCCTTGGTCTAAATTGAGTAATCAAAATTAACAACCATTCAACAGATAAGAGTTCCTTGTTGTTTTGGGCAGAGTGCTTTACTCACTCTTTGAATCTGCACATTTTTTGTACTAAAAAAAGAATAATTCAACAAAAAGTTGTATGTGATGATATGATGTAAAACACTAATGAATTTGGTTATACAAGTCTGACATTTTAGTCAGGTTTAAAACTAGAAGGAAGTTGTCAGTTAAGCCAATTCCAAAGGGAAACACTTGAGGGGGTATACTATTTGTAAAACACCCTCCTATCCAGTAGGCACATGATATTTGGATTACCTGTACAAGCCTTCCCCAATTTAACAATCTCCAGATGCTTTGGGTTACCACTGATTATGCTGGCAGGAGCTCTTGGCCAAAACCTCTGCAGGCCACCAGGTTAGGGAAGACCTGCGTACACCTTAAAGAGCTAGGTGGATGCCCCCATCTAAGACAGATTACGTGAGAGTATTTGGAGAGTTTGTAAAGAGTATGGATCAGATAAACAACTTAGTGCTTCCTCTGCATCTTGGCCATCTAAGAACACTTTGTCTATCACCAGAATAGAGGTAAGGACTGGATTTTTTTAAGGCAGTCTCAAAGAAGAAATGCAAGAAATGGCAGAAAAGGCATTTTACATCCAGGATGAAGAGAGCCTTGGTTAGCATTTGTAGGATAGCATGTTTCAGTTCCAGATGCAATAGTTTAAAATCTAATGCAAACTGAAATGTAAGCCTCCTTCCCAGATACCATCTGTGGGTGGAAAGCTCTGCTACCCACAGACCTGCATCTTCTTCTCTCCCAGTTCCCTGTGAACCCAGTTCATGGTTGGGGAAAGAATGTATCTCATAGAGGAAAGTCCAGAATCCCACTAGGAGTGTGAGGAAATTCTTTTGGACATTCACTGGCACTGAGGAGTTCAGTAACCATTGGGCAGATAGCACAAGCCGCAGCAGCAGTCAGTAGGTCAGGGGTGTTAATATAAAGAGCCGATCCTCTTCCTTGCGGATCCACTTCATAAGTTTGTTGACAGCACTGACAGCTGATGCTTTGGTTCCCAGAGGGCTGAAGCATACATAAAGCTCAAATGCACTAGTTACCTGCAAAAAGGAAAGGGTAAAAGACCATGACAACATGCAGTAACAATAAAGCAAACTGACCTTTCTCCCCATCCTCCTGCACATAAAGAACAATTGCTGCACTGTTTGCAAAGAATGATGTCCTATGTTTCACTACTCCAGCTGCTGTTCCTGAGAGAATACGTAAAATTTTGGATAGAAACCTGATAAAGAATGTTCTGTTGCTCTAAATCTTGCAGGCTCCTTATTCGTAGTTAATGTGAATTTAAGAATGTTTCAATTCAGATGATAGTTTATTACCGTGTAATTATTAAAAATAGCAATTTTTATGATGTAAATATTTAAAATTTGAGGTACAGTCATATCCTTCCCAGCATCCCTCTATACAGTCAGAATGGCTGGGAACTATAGGATTTTTTTTGTCTAAACATACATATGATTGTGCTTTAAATTGCTGCTGCTCCCCATCTTTGGAACTCCCTCCCTAAGGATATTTGCTTGGTGCCAAAAGAAAAATAAAGAAATACCTTTTAAGGAATTTTTTTAACACATAGCCTGAATGCTGTGGCCCTTTTTATATTGCTTTTATAGATGTATTAATTTGTTGTGATTAAATTGGTTTTAATGTGTTTTACTTTGCTAATATGTTTTATGTATTGTAAGCCACCCAGGAAGGCCTCAGCAGTTATAGGTGGTCTATAAATACATATATAAATAAATTTTAAATTATATGGTACTGAGTATAGAAGACTTTGGATTCCCTCAGAGAACAGATGCAATCAATTTCTTACAATACATACTAATGTCATTTTCAGGCCTTGTGAGGCTAAATGGCTGAATGGATCGACCGAACCAAAGCTACACCTTAACATTGCCTGCTCCTGGTTTTCCTTTTCTTACAGTTTCTGCAGTAATGGCAGCTAAGTCACAGCAGCAGGAGGAGCATGTTGCTCTTACCCAAGCCAGAAGGTTTTCATTTGATCCAGTGTAATAGATGTTCGCTAGAGGACGGGCGGAATTATGGGCCCGGCTGTGTAAATACTGATACAATCCCAGAAGCCTCTCCTTTTCCTCTTCTGTGATGTACGGAGCATCTATCTCTGGGCTGGAAAAAAGAAATTCTCTTTTGGTTAAGCCTCTCATCATGGATGTCAATGAAAGCAAAGCAGGGCAGCACAGCTTCTCTTCATGGGATAGAAAGACATTGACTTGGGACAGAAACTGGAACCAATGAGCCTGCTAGGAGCTCTCCTTACTGTCTGCTCAGCTATCACTGAAACACAACATCTGGTTACTAGTGTTACTCTCAACTAATAAGGAATGCAGTTAGATACAACTTGGCAAGTGGGATCTGGAAAGGCTGACTGGGGACCAGCAAGTGGCTTGCACATAGCACATATGCTGTAATTAATCCCTTATATTTTGTTTTTAATGGCCAATGTGCTCAGTTCACCCCAAAACAAATGACTTGTCTGGAAGTTGACTCATCCCGGCAATTGACTCATCCCAGGAATTGTCTCTCACCATCCAGTCAAAAGCAGCATTCAGCAAACAATATTTTCACTATGCATCATTCGTGGTTTTGACTTGAACCTGTTTAAACAAGAAATGGAAGCAGCATGGAGGGCGGGGGGAGTGACCAGAGTGAAGACCTGACTGTGCCAAAATCATGGGCATTATTGGTTCTGTAGGGGTGCGCAGTAACACCCCACTATCTCTGTCGTTTGCAATACCTGGAGCCTACCTATGTTAACTTTTCATTGCTGTTCACTGAGGGGCTTTGCATAGTATATAAAATATACTTGGCCTGATGGCCCATCTGCAAGACTCCAAAACCTGGCTAATGTAAGACCTCAACAAGTGCTTAACAGGATGGTTCAGCTCCCTGCTGAGAAATGCCTGAATTCACTTGGCATTCGAGATGTTAGCCCCCAGGGGCTTTGTTGCAAAGCCTCTCTTATAGTTTGATGCCTTCTTGACCAATACAGATTAAATCAGTTCCAGGCTGCTTCTAGGCAGAGGGATCCTATTGCTAATAATCCAAGGCATTGCGCAATTATGGTACTTTTTCTCCTCCTTAATAATTGTTCCTTAATGGTAAGGAAAAAAAAAGATAGAAGCGACAGGAACACATGAGAGAGTTGTGACTGGAAGACATTCATCCATATTTCCCAGAAAATTCTGTAAATGAGGCAGGGTAATGGTGTCTTCAAAACTTGTTCTGGAAGCGCCCTAAATATGAACTGACGGCGGTGTTGCCAAGAATGTGCTCTTACCTAGTGAAGAGTCCAGAACTCTTAGATTTGTAGATGAAGTGTCGAAGGTCGGGGAGTCCCACCTGGGAGGCACAATAGAAAGGAGTGCGTAGTGCCTCCAAGAGGGCATGATAAACGCCTCGCTTCTTCAGGCGTTCTTGGAACTTGCGCTTGCAGTTAGACATGGTAAAAAAGTCCTCACGATCAGTGGAAATCAGGAGAAGGCACAAGTCCACATCTTGCTCTAAGTAGGAAATGTGGGCATGGAAGAAACCACTGGAATTGAACTTGGGCAGACAGATAGGAGTCCAAGCTTCTCCTTCTCTAAATGAGGAGCATGAACTAATGAGGTTAAAGAGCAAGTGGAGGTCAATTGGATGCAGGAACTGCTCCTTTTTCCTCACCAGGGAAACTAGCTGGTTCTTGGAGAGGAGGATGCCGAACACCAGGCTTTTAGCTTTGGCTTGCTGGAGGCAGGAACTCACAGCATCCCTGACTCCCGCTGCCATAGGCACACAACGAGCGGCTCCCATCAGAAAGCTGGGGTCCCTAGCCATTAGGTCTAGCAGGTTGTCTGTGATGCGCTCAGAGCCTGCCAGCAGCCTTCGCAAGTCGTAGTTCTGCTTCTGCTGGAAGATGCGGTTGAGCTGTGTCCAGGTCAAGAGACTGACCATCTGGTAGTAGATGTAGAGGAGCTCCTGGGCAATTTCTTGCTCTGACTGTCGTGTCTGAGCCACAGCGACCAGCACCAAGGGGCTCCTGCGCACAAACACCACCTTGTACCCATCTGCTGAGAAGGGCAGAGAAAGAGAAAACACATCAGTACCTTCAAATTACACCGGTGATTTGAAAAGGCAGCTGTCACAAAAGAGTTCTTCTGTTGTAGTTCTTGCACATGCATAGACAGTGCTGAGGAAAAGGGAAACTCTCTAACAACATGGGTCTCCTGCAATTCTGTGATGGGGACCATAAGCTTTCTACCAATCAGGTATTTTGAATTTAGCAAGGGAGAAGAATTATCTAGCTCTTCCCCCTACATAGGCCTGGTCTCATGTAATGACAAACTATGGTTTAATTAACTATTAAATCATGATTTGTCATGCAAATCTAGAATTACTAATGTGTTATTAACTATAAACAATCCACTAAGAGAAGTCATGGTTTATTGTGGAATAATAGCAACAACATTTCTACCCCATCTTTACCTGAAACAGGTCTCAAGACAGCTCACAAACCAACAGCAGCACATTAAAATACAATATAAAATATATTTTACATACATATAAATATACGAGGTATGTTTGAACCACGATTTTGTCATAAGAACCTAGAATCAAGGGCGGTTCACAGTTGGGGCCATTCTAGGGAATCATGATTCACACTCTTCCCCCCCACCCTCTCTCTTGATTGATTTGCTTTCCCACTCAAATGTTCAATGGTTAGCTTGAAGAAATAATGGTAAGGTCATGAGAATGTAGGAAGACACTGGGTTAGTGTGATAGTGGGTACCTGCATGGATAGACCGGATAGCATTCTTCTCAGCTTCGAGGAAAGAAACAAGAGCCATCATCACCCCCATGGTGCTAGACAAGGCTTCTTCAGACCCATAGCGGGAATACACTGGCTTGCCTGCCTCACTTAGAACAAAGACATGTTTCTGATGCATGCGCCAAGCATCCATGGTTATGTCTTCTTCTTCCTTCCCTGACAGGACTGAATCTCGACGTGAGGCCTGTGGTGAGAACTCCGCGGTGCCCTCATGATTCTGTCTTATCTCTTCTTCTAAGTCCAGTGCAATACCAGTAAGCTGTGTGCTCAGTTCACTGAAGTCCTTGCTGATTTCCTCCATCTTTGTCTGATCACTCTGGCTTTCTTCTCTCTCATCTGAGCTTTGAGGAGCTGCATCCTGATTATCTGTGCCAGTTAGGTCTTCATAAGACTGAGCATGAACAAACATGGCTCCCTCCTGACCTGCCCCTTAGAAACAACAGCAGAATAGACATTCAGTTATTCACTCTCAGAGCAGAGGGGGACCCTGGAAAGAAGAGCCACAAAGCCATCCGAGAAGAATAACCTTCCCCATCAGGTGTCTTTGTGTGCATTTGAGAATATTGCAAAAGTTTGCAAACACTTACAATGGCAAAAGGAAACCAAGATGTTCCTACACCTCATGCCAGAGATTCTATTTTTGTGAGCCCTGTCTAGTGAGTGGGAGGCTGCCAATGGCAGATATTAGTTATGCAACACATGTGCCATACTGTAAGGAAATATCCTCCATTTTGATAACACAATTTTTTCCTGAACCATCAAAGCAACCCAGTTCTATAGTTTCCTATATGGTAGACAGACCTAAGTGCCTTTCATTTTAAACATTTTGATGTCACAACTCTGTTGCCTTACATTTGAAAGCCTCTGGTTCTCATCCAAGAATCTGAAAATTCTCATCCCTCTTTCATACTAAAATATAGCATATATATTCTTTTGGTACATCTGGTATTTAACACAAAGGAAGTTGGTACACTGAGCATCCTATGGGCATCGACTTGAAGAAAGAACAGTTTCAACAATCTCCTGAAAAGGAACTGAATCACATGCAAACCTAGGAACACTTTATTGGGGATAAGTGTGTCATGAAATGAGACTTTTATCATGTAATCAAACTGTCTTGTTCATGGAATGTTGCAGGGGATCCAGATTTTATCATCTTCCATTGGAAACCTCCATCCCACCCCATACCTTCCTACCACTTCTGCCATCTTTTTCTTTCCAAATAAACTCCATTACGCAAATAAAACAGAATAGCTGCACAATGTCTAAACTGGTAGTCAAGGAGTCCTCTGTCTGGAAGCATGGAGCAATCATATTACAGCAGTGCTCTGTGGCATAATGCTAGCTTCCAGACTGCTTCCAGCCAGTTCAAAGACTGATATTCATTTTTAAAGCTTTACATGGCTTGGGGCCAGCTTACCTAAAGGAACATCACCTTTGATATATACCTCTCCAGTTCCCACAATCATCCTCAGAGGTTCTCCTTCAGGTGTCCTTGACAAAAGAGGTGCAGTACATGACCTAAGGAGAGGGCCTTTAAACTGGTGGCACACTCACTGTGGAATGCCCTCCCCAGAGTGTCTTGCATGGCAGCTCTACTGCAGCCTTTTCAGCAACCGGTAAAGTTGCTGTGTTTTTAGAACTTGACCTTGCTGCTGACTTTGACTGCAGTTTTACTTCAGGCTTATTCAGTTTTAAACTTTTTAAGGTTTTATATGAAGTTGTATCATTTTGTATTTTAATCTCTGTGAACCTTCCAGAGAGCTTTGGCTATTGGGTGGTACAGAAATGTAATCAATTAGCGAGCTAGCACGCACCCCATGTCCCGTTGATCAGGGTGAAAAGTACTCTGGTGGAAATATGCATGGGATTGGACCGCATGTCAACAAAAAACAAAAAATAGGCGTTCTCATGTAATCATGCTGCTCCTGTGATCCAGACTGATGGTCTGCATTTTGCTCTGGACTTCCTTTTTTCCCCAATGGGAGGTAGAAATTAGTTAGCTCTGTTTTGTGATTTCTGGTTCCTTTGGCCAAGGGAATGTTGTGTGTGTGATTGCTGATGTAAACCACTGGTGTATGTTGCTGTGAGTTCAGGGGCTTCCTGGTATAATGCACAATAAAACTCTGTTTTCCTTTTACTTATTCGTTTCTCCGGCCTGATTCTACCATTGCTGTTAGGATGCAAGAGCTATGCTAAGTCACTAGGATTCAGCAGAAAATGGTTACAGGTCTGTCATGTATGGTAGGAAATGTCAGCGGTATAGTATGCAGCCAGGTGCCTGCATCACCATAACATTATTATTTCCTATTTCTTCTGTTTGACTGAAAATAAATAAATCTAATCCTTACTTCTGCTTTTTAACAAAGAAACCATGTGGGAAACACTGCACTAGCAGGGTCACCTCTGGGGATTTTTCTGGTAAGAGGCAATGTGGCTGTTTTCATACAAAACATGCGAACTGCTCTCTACTCATACCTACCTGGCTCTGTGCCCTGAGCAAGTCCTGGCGTAGGGCTCTCTGACCTCTCAGCATGCTGCCCATCACCTGGGACCAATAATCCATCAGGCACATCTCTGTCTTTCTTCTTGTAAACATCAGCAGCCATTGCCCGGGAACTATTGGAGACCTGCAAGCAAACACAATTCCACTAGTCTGTATTGTCCCAAGAAGTTCCCATCTGAGCTTCTTCCTAGTGCATGTCTGTGCCATGCCGTGTCGTGCTGCACGCGCGCACACAGACACATGAAGACAAGGACTCAGTCCATAACAGCTTGTCAGTGGTGCAGCTAGAACCTTGGGGCCAAGTTCAGGGCCCTCCCAGAGATTACCCAAAAGGCAGCAGGTGAGGAAGGCAGCAGAAGCAACTCCATTTCCTTTTTCTAGTCACAATGACACTATGATTTAAGTGAGCTTAAATGCAAAGCTGCGCATATGCTTGGAGTATTTTTCCCTAGTAATGGCAAACATTCAAACATACAAAGAATACAGGATCAGTGTATAGCATGAAAGAGCAAGTGGGAGAGAAGAGGAATGTCAGTGTCACGGCTCACAGTGGAAGCAATACACAAGGCAGCCTAAAATCTCCCTATCACAAGACCAGCATCTAAAATTGCCTAGCTGCATCATGGGTTTTGGTGTTATTAGTTATGAACTGTGTAGAAAATGTGCATGTTCTGACTGTACAGTGCTGTCCTTTGTTCCTAGTTATTAATATTTTTACTCTACAAATGGAGAAGTGAGCATATGATACAGTGACTTGCTCAACACCACCTAGCAACTCCATGGTTGAAGTCAATGTCTCTCAGGACCTGAGCAATTATACCCATCTAAACTCCATTGCTTAACAAAATGACAGCGGTCAAGTTAACACAAAGCCTGGTGCCCCTAATCTACCCCACAAGGTCTATAATCCTGCAAAATTTCAAACTGGTCGCATCCTAATTGCCACCGGTACATTAAGTTGAAAAGTGCTGAAAGTTGATGCATTTGTACTTTTTAGTTCAAGCTGTGACCATATTACATATTTTTTCAAATGCTGAGAAAAAGTACTGATGAGGACATGTGCTTGCAAATGATTGGGTTAAAAGTAACCAAAATTGTTCTGCCCCAGGAAAGTCTATGATAGCAATTGCTGGCAAAGTTAAGGTAGGCGTGCTCAGTTTCACTCTGAGGTTATAATGCTGTCAGTATGTCAGTGTTTTTGAGATGATTCCCACTGTTACTGTGGACATTCTACAAGCTGGGGAGTGGTAGCAGGAAAATGAGATAAGAGAAAGGTAATTTGAAGGCTGTGAAAATTGCTCACTGATTGACTCATCACTGATGAAATGAGGAAGGAAAAGGCTTTGCTGCAATTCTACAGCTTGCTCAGAAGTAAGTGATTCTCAACAAACAGGGTCATATTTATTCATTTCAACACATCAGTTAGTGACTTGTTTAGGATTTTGGTTGTTTTTAGCACATTCTAATAATAAATTTCCTTAAAAAAAACAGGGAGGGTAAATGATATACAGTGTGGTGAGAGCCAGTGTGGTGCAGTGGTTAAGAGCATGGGACTTGGGACTCAGACGATCTGGGTTCTAGTCCCCGCTCGGCCATGGAGCCAACTGGGTGACTTTGGCCAGTCACAGACTCTCAGCCCAACCTACCTCACAGGGTTGTTGTTGTGGGGATAAGATGGAGGAGGGGAATGATGTAAGCTGCCTTCAGCCCTTTGTAGGAAAAAGACAGGCTATAAATCGATAAATAAATAAATAAATAAATAAATATACAAACCTGCCCGTTTGAGACCAGTTAAGACTATTGCTTTTTGGCTCAAGCTCCACAAAGCCAGGAAATGAAAAGCTAAGGGTGATGCAAGTCTATAGCCAGTCTAAAAGTTTGAGGTTGTGGAGACAGGGAGTTTGTTTTATCTAGTTTGCAGACCTTTTAAAGACAAACTGCTAACTGTTCCTCTTTATCCCTTATTTATCCCTTTTTTTTCTGCCATACTGTAATAGCTGTACTTTCAAAATTTTTCACTGAGTAACTTCAACAATTATTATAGTTCTTGACACTATTTAACAGAAAAAATTAAAAAATAAAGAATACCCCACTAGCAAGAAATCAAGAATAAGCTGCAACTTAGTCATCATAAAACTTAGAGCTACAAGAGGCTATTGAGTTCATTGATTTCAACCCCTGCTCACTCCAGGAACTCCATTTAAATCTTCCAGACCGAGGTCTATTTCTGCTGGAGCAACTCCAGCAATGGAGGGCCCACCACCTCCCTAGGCAGCTGGACCTATTTTGTGACTGCTCAGACTATGGGGGCCTTTTCCTGATGTTGCTGGAGCTTAAACCTGTTATTTTGTGCCCTTCAGGTCTTGGGTGACAGAGAACAGGTTATGACCATCTTTTGAATGACAACCCTTCAGCTGTTGATAACTTCTGTTATCATTACCCCCTTCTCAAAGCAGGGGTGGTGCTACTGCATCACACCAGTTTGCGTATGCTAATTTATGTGCCCTAAAGTCTGTCTGTGTGTGCATCTAATGGAGCTTGCCTGCTAAGGATACCCCTGTTTTAAAAGGGATATATAGCCAGGGCAGAGAAGGACATTTGATTTCAGAAAAAATCACAGACAGATTCAAATGGGGTGGCAGCATGAGGTGAAGAGCAAAACGCCAGCTGCTCCAAGGGGTTCAGATGGAACAGAGATCATTAAGGCCCCAGAACCTTTATTTCAGCCACTGCCTATGGACAGGAGGGTGCAAAGTGGCCTTACAGAGATTCAAGACTCCAGCCCTAGTGAGTCACCCTCTGGGCTAAACATGGCCAGTTTCTTCAGTTTTTCCTTATAATTTCTAGTCCTCTGATTGATTTTATTGTCCCTCGCTGAATTCAGTCCAATTATTCTTAATCCTTCTTAAGGTATAGTGTCCAGAACTGCACACAGTATTGGAGGTAAGATCTAACCAATGCAGAGTAGAGTAGAATTATCATTCCAGTGATCTTGGAGTTATATTTCTATTGATGCAACCTAAAATTACATTTACCCTTTTTGCAGTCTCATCACACTGCTGACTCATATTTTGTTTGTGACTGAGTTTTTACATGTACTTTTTGCCCTAGTTTTCTGTCCTCTCAAGACTGCCTTGAAATTGTTTGTCTTCTATTTTTATTTATTAGAATTATATCTGCCTTTTCTTTTTTAAAAAAAACTCAAAGCAGCTTATATAATTCTCCTCCTCTTGCTCTCAATCTTATCTTCACAACAACAATCCTGTGAGGTATGTTGGGCTGAGAATCTGTGACTGGCCAAAGTCACCAGTTGGCTCCATGGCCAAGCAGAGACTAGAACCCAGATCGCCTGAGTCCCAGACCCAAGCTCTTAACCACTACACCATACTATAATCCACAGAATTTTATATCATCTGCAGATTTGATAAACAATCCCCTCCTACCTATTAAAGTAATATGTGAACAGCTGCACATAATTTTAAAGAAAGGATACATAAAACATAATTTTAAAGAAAGGAAAGAAAGGAAAATATTCCTTTGTCTCAGGTATAGTTTAATTGCATGTACCATTAGGAATATCTAGACAAAGTCCACTGTGGCACCACCCTAAAATAATAGCATCTTTAGCTTTAAAAAAAAGGTTTATTTTTAAATGACTGCAATAAATTTGATTAGCTGTTTGTTAAAAAAAACGGGGTAGGCCAGAGAAAACTTGGGAAGGCAAAGTCCCCCAGCTCCTCCCAGCTATGAACCTGATTAAGCAATCTGCCCCATTAACAGTGTTGCAGAATGTCATAAATAGTGCTTGCTCACAACCAACAATCAGGCATGGGTCAACTCACAGGAGGATTCCTTTTGTAACACAGTAAGGCGCAAATGTTTCATAAAGCAATGCAGGACCAGGAGAAGGTGGAGCATCTTTGCTTGTCACAGGCACTCCATCTTCACCATCTGGGTTTGGGCTGGAAAGACCTAGGAAAAGTGTGGGCAAGTTGTCAGCAAACACAATCTGTGACATTGTACAACAATGTTATTGATCAGTATGTATGTTAAAGCATTGGCTCTCAATTTTCTGGCTTTGTGGAACATGAGCCAACATGAGATACTCTTAGCTCTGGTCATAAACCAGCAGGATATTTAATACGATCATTGAATTATTACTTGAGAAGGTGGTTATGGAGGAAGTCTGGATCTCCTTGTTCAAATATTTAGGTAACACAGCTAAAGGTCTAACCTGGATACAGATAAAAGGACAGGTAAAACCTCTGGATAGATAAAAGTTCTTCACATGGCACACTGTTAAACTATGCAATTCACTGCTACAGGAAGAAGTGATGGCCCTCAGTATGGACAGTTTTAAAAGGGGACTGAACAAACTATTGATGGCTACTAGCCTTACTGGTTATGCACTGCCTGCTACCAGAGGTGGCATGCCAGCATAGGCCAGTTGCTGAGGAACCTGAGTGGGTGGAACTCTTGCACCCATCCTGCTTGAGGGATCCTGTGAGCGGCTGGTTTGCTACCATTGTGTTGCCCCAGCTGCGGGCTAAAAGTTTGTGAGATCCTAAGAAAATGAAAAGCTAGATCCAGGTTTGCTTACATGGAGCCTTTATTGTGTATTATTTATCTTGGAAGGCACCCAGTCAGGGCCATGACACTATAAATGGAAGTCTACAATTTTAATTAGGCTAAGCTAGGTAAATTGAATGCAGCTCTTTACTCATGCTAAGCAAGTCCCATACCTAAGAAGCCAGAGTCTGAGGCCTGGATTTTACAGCATAGGCCCCAAACAACCATGTGAGTGGAGTGCTAGACTGGATGGGCCATTGGTCTGATCTGGCATGGCTTTTCTTGTGTTCCTATGATACATTCTTGGGAAAAAAATCAGCTCCCAAGCTTTGAGCCTGTTCAAGTGATTCGTGGAGCATTTTCACAAGAGATTAGAAAACTTTCCTATTTGGTCACATCTTTTCCAGAAAAACTGATTCTAATGCAGCTACCTTATTAGATGCAAGTTAGCTACAGTCATATACCATGGCCAAATATTTCCCATTGACCTTCTTTAAAGATTGTGCTAAAAGATAAAGCAGCAAAAGATGTCCAGGGTCAGCAAGCTGTGTCAGTCCCACAACCTCAAACATAGGAGGGATTGTCTTTCAATACGAAAACTGAAAGGAATGGATCTATGGCAAAGATAAGGGCTTTGGCTGACAGCACATAGCGGGAATAACTGACTGTTACTCCTGTGTGTGCTTAAACATGGACTGACATCTTGCAAGAAACACTGGGTTTGCTTTTGCCTTGAGAAGTGGAACTCTCTTAATATGGCATGTGCTTGCTTCTTTTGAGAAATGAAAATGAAACATGTTTAGGTCTGTCACTATGGTGGTTTTATATCAAACCCTCCAGTGGGTAGATTAGGGCTGCCTGCAGCTAGATTTGCATCTGCTGATGATCCTGAACAGTTCCCAGCAGAACACCAATTAAATGTATTGATTATATTTCTAACCTGACCTTTTCTTCCTGCAAGGAACCCAGTGTGGATCACATTATCCAGTGTATCCTGAGAAGGAGATTTGGTGAGGGAGATTAGGCCCAAAGTGATTGGCACAAAGTCACCCAGTAAGCTGAATAGAGTCTAGAACTCGAATCTCTCAGGTCCCAATCTAACACTCAAACCACTATGCCATCCTGGTTCTCAGTTAGGATGTTACCATTAACAAGCCTGGACCTTTATTATTTTGCAGCTCAGCCCCGCTTTTTATTCACTCCCATGTCACCAAAGAACTGGCGAGGTGGAGATTCAATATGCTGCCCTTAGTCAAGCTCTAACTCCTGTTTGCTCAGTGCCAGGGAATGCCTTGTCTAGAAATTACCAGCCATTCATATTGCAGCAGCATTTCTGCTGACCTGAATTCCTACTTCATGGATGAGATTGCTCTTCCACTTGCTTTCTGTTCTGCATATTTGTGCTGGGGTTTTTAGAAGTCATTCATTCCTGTACTTAAGTGTCAGCATATCCTGTCAGCTTGTTCCTACTTAGAAGTCAGTCCCACAAATTTCAGTGTGCCATACTTCCAAATAGGTGTGCAAAGGGTTGTATGCGTATCAATATATCCAGGAAGAGGGGGAGACAGACTTATATCCTCCAGATGTTTTTGCCTACAACTCCCATCATCTTTCACCACTGGCTATGTGGGCTGATCATAGGAGTTTAAGGCCAAAGCATCTGAAGGGCCACAAGTTGCCCATCCTTGATCGGTTCACCTTGAGTTCTGTGACATAAAATAAAGGAACTGTACTGGGAGGGAGAGCTGAGGAGAGACAATAAGCACCTTTATTCCAAGACACTGAAGGAGAGCCGGCCCATTCTCAGGTGAAGGGCAAGATGGTAGCCTTCCCACAATTCCACCCACAAGCCAACCAGTCCAGCAGTTGGCTTACTCCAGGCAGTGCTCTCCTCCACACAGAAAACAGCAGGATAACAAGGATAACCTTGCTGCAGCAGGTGTGGAGCAAGCTGAATGGGACACAAAGCCCAGTCCTTGAACCCCTTGCTGCTGCTCCCTGTGCCCCGACATCTGCGGTCTAAGACAGCTGCTTCACTTTGCTCAGGCTAAGCAACAAATTGTGTTCCTAATTTTTAGCCTTATATAAATAACTCCCAATGACTTATGCAGGACATAGTAAAGAGATGGGATAGCGGCTTCCACACCCAGACACATCCCAAATCTATACTTTGGTGCACTCCTTTACTTTCTTCCATTTAAGTCAAAGGCTGTCATATGGCCACAGATGCAGACCAGGATTTAGGTGTAACTATTGCTACTGACTGTGTAGCCTTGAGCAAGCTCCTCTTTCCACCTACACAATTGCAATAATAGATGTTTATAGCAAATGTGTCAATACAATTTATAACAATACATTTAAGGTTAACTGTTTTGCCAGTTAAAAAGAGTAGCATAATGTTTAAAGTTGGTATTATTGTTCTTTGCCTAGGGAGGAAGAGGCAAGTTTTGGCAAACAGTTTGCCCTGCCACTGCTTCCAATGTATCTTTCTAAAGTAAATTGTACAATCTTTATCAAAGCTCCACTGAGAGCTCCAGCCAGAACACATTTCAAACAGGGTGATAAATCTGCTTCCATCCATCTACACAGATGCCTCCCACTTTCTCTTCACCGTGTTTCCCCATGGATCATCCCTCTATCAGAGAAGAGTCTCCTGGAGCATATTAGTATGTCAAAGCAAATTTTGGTTTCTCCTGTGCTGTTTCCAGCCATTGGCTTTGGCAGTATAGTAGACGGGCTTTCTATGAAATTCAAGTTGGCCGCATTTCAGCGCACGTACCCCAAGGCAGGGATAGTGTGCTGCTCAAATAATGCTGCGAATGTGCAGACTGAGAGAAAATCCACAGGCCCGGCCTCTGCGACCTTCTTCCTGCCTGCTCTGACGGCCCTGCGTGGAAACGGAGCAGACGCCGCAGCAGCGCACAAAGGATACTCACAATTTGACAGGAACGGGCTGCAGCGGCGCCGAGAGCGGAGGCTGGTCCCGCCGCTGCTGCGAGGTCTGAGCAGAGGGGGAAGGACGCACGCCCAAGGGGAAGAGGAGGGAGCGCTCAGCTCGCTGCTCTCCTCGGAGGACTCGGGCACCGCAGCCTCGGACAGGCTGTCCAAACCAAGCGGCTGAGAGTTGTCGGCTACAGCCAGGAAAGTGCTCCGCGCTACCTACTTCTCCTTTCGAACCGAAGGTCGTTTGCTGAGTGCCATAGGTCCAGTGCATCTTGGGGATTGTAGTCCAAAACTCTGCAGCTGCATCTTTCGAGAGACAACAGCTGAGATTCACAGCAAACGGGAAATTGACCCACAGCTGCCAACATCTGAAGAACACAAAGAGGTAGATTTAAGCGTTCCTTCATTCCAGAAATCCCTGGTCTCTCTTTGATGTGTTGCAATAGTAATACCCATAGCAGTAATTCATTTAGCACTTTGTGGGTGTTCAAAGCTCAATATATACATTATATCACATAACCTTATGATAACCTTGTAAGGTAGGTCTGTATTCTTATCCTTATGCTGAAGGTGGAGGAGGAAACTCTTGTTTCAAAGCCTTCCAAGTGAGGCTTTTATTATGGAATGCACCTTGGCTCATTCTTGGAATTTTACTGGGAGTCCAGATGACATGTATTCCATTTGTAACCCTCTTAAGTTTGAATGTGTCTGCTAAGGCTTAATTATTGGCAGTAAGAGTTCTAAATTAAAATATGCAAATATTTTTAGTATTTTGCCCACACCACTGCCAGAATATAACTACCTCAGACTTTTTTCAAAATAGAATTTGGTCCTTGAACTGAAAGAGTGTGTGTCCCTGCTATATAGCTTTCTGTTCTGATGTTTTGATTAATTTGTATCACTTTCTTTAATGTGAACTGTAAAATCACTACACCAGTTGCAGTGTGTTTTCTCAGACGTTAGCCTCTCTGAGACTTTTTGCAAGAATGTGTGCTCAAGATGGCAAATGCTTGGTCTGATCCAGCTGAGCTTTTCCTATGTTCTTCTGCTGTTGAACATTTTTGCACCAGATGTTGCTGTTTTGTATCTGCAGCCTATAGAACAGTCACACTTAAAGCCTCATTACTCTCCTTATGTATTTGGGATTGTGACTATTCCATTCAGTTTGTGTCTACACCAGCTATATATTATAAAATGCTTAATTATCTGTAGGATTTCCAAAGTAGTGTTACCAGGACAAGCAAGAAAGGTTTGGAAACAATCTTAAAGAGCACAGGAGTCTTGAACTCATGAACAGACACATGAAAAAACACAAATAATAAAATCCCTGCGCGATAAAAAGTTCTGAAAACTTACAAAACTGGCCAAATGTTTTTTGCCATAAGGTCTTCATTGCTGGCCTAAAACAAATAATTCAGCCATGGCTTGTTCAAATAGAGGACAACTGAATAATTAACTTCTAACAACTTATAAGACTGTCCATGCTAAGTAAAGAATTAATTATTCTTCAATATGGCCATAAAAGGTTTTTCCAAAAAATGTTCCTTTTGTCAGGACAGCTACTCACTAGTAGCATTAAGATTTTAGGAGAATGGAGGATATTTTATATACAGTATTAGACACAGAAATGATTTTTGGAAGTGTACAATGATGTGTAGATACTGCCCTAGTATTAGCTTTCCTAATTTACCAATTCTTTTTCCAAGAGATTTTACTGAAGTGTTACAATACCAATTAAGTATTTTGTTGTGTATATTTATTAATAGCAATTATGGAGTAGGGAAGTGGTCTACAACACTTTAATAAACATTTGCAATTAGTATATTGCTGTTAGGGAGCCAAGGTTCCATTTGGATGCCAGGAAGCACTTCCTGACTGTCAGGACCCCGAGGGTGTGGAATGGGCTTCCCTGGGAGATGGTTGAGGCCCCATTGGTGCGGGTGTTCAAGGATAGGCTGGACGTCCAACAGGGTGGGCATATCATGAGCGGAGCCGGCTGGTGCTGGAGGTCAGACTAGATGGCCTGGGAGACCCCTGCTGACTCAATCTGTTTTCTATGTTTCTATGTTATGCCCTAGAGTTTGTTATATAACCTGTATTACTGGAACTTTAAGATTATCAAAGGTGAAAAACAGCAGCTGCATTTTGCTGATGCATGATATATTTACCTATGTTCAGGGTTAGATCACATTAAAATAGTGGCCATCTTTTGAGTGGTCTTCTAATTTTATATGTCCAGTCAAATGAATTAAAGGTCTAGTTTCATTTGCAAATAGTTTGAAATTATGTAAGGTTTAAGTAATTATAAGCGGACCAAAAAGGTAGTGTCAATGCCAGGGGTAAATACTTTTTCTAATTCAGGACTTATTTCATGTAAGGTAGTTATAGCTTTAAAAAAACTGACAAGCCAATGGATGATGCCCGTATTACAAGAATGTGAATAGTGGGTGAAGCAGTCCTACAACGTAGTGCACCCACCTACAAAAACTTCCCTAATAATGACGCAAAAAACAGTCTATATTAATTGCCACAATTAATTTGAATTGTCCAAATTCAACACCCTATTGCATGCAGAGAACTTGCGTTTCATTTAAATGTCTTCAGCATTTCTTTTTTAAAAGTCACTTCTCTCTCCGAGAACCCTGCCCTGTCAGTTTTGCTCGGACACACTATTGCCCAATCGCAGCTAGTCTAAAACCTCGGACTTCCTCCATTGTATTCTGTGAATAACACCCATTTCCGCCCCAGAGGAGGGTCGCAGCCGGCTCCTAAAGTTCCCCTGGAAACTGGACGCTCTGTTCACTCCTCGTCTATGATCAGGATAAGGGCCAACCTGAGCGTTCACATAGGAGGGGCTGGAGGTCAAATGCTCGAGCGTACCGGAATTTCCGGTTTCTTCTCGCTTGGCGCTGCGGCTTCGCTGGAGGCCCTGAGTGGCGGTACCCCGAGTCCGCCTGTGGTGGGTATTTTGTTTTAACACCTGCCTTCATACGCGTGTTCCCGCCCGACCTGGTTGCGGGGGCCTTGCCCTGCCCTGGCGCGCGTCCGAGCCAGGCTCCGTCCTGCCCTGGCGCTTCCTGCCTCGGGCGCTTGAGAGGCGACACGGCACGCGGGAAGCGCGCTTGGCGCTGACAGGGCCACTGCGGGACTGGATGGCGGGGAGAAGGAGTGGCTGAGGGTTGGATGAGAGGGGCGTGCGTGGGGTCTCGGCCTATTTTTCTTTCCCGCATGGTGGCGGGGATGGCTGGCAGGTGGACGATAGAATGTTCACCCATCGAAATGGATCGGGGGAGCAATTGCTTAATGGTGATGCATATGCTACATCAGAATCTTTCATTAGTAGATATCTATTAGCAGGGCAAAGGCATTAACTGACACAGTGCATCTTTTGATGCAGCTATTTCTAGTAACTTCAGCGCTGTCAAATCTAGTAACTTCAGCAGTGTTGTCAAATCTTTTTGCATGATACCTTGAAGCCGCTGCCACTGTATAGGTGTGGAACAGAGGTTGTACCACTTGTCTGACTTTATGTAAGGTGATTCTGTTTGCAGTTATCCTTAGCTGTTGTGAGGATAACATGGAAAGGAGGAAGAAGATTAAGTAAACTGTTTTAGGATTCTTGCAGAAAAGAGGCAGGATATAAACAAACAACATTTAAAATTGCTCTAACAGACTAAAGATCTGAAAATTGAAAAACCTCACCATTTGAACTAGCTATTCATCAAAGGTTCTGATAGTATTTTATATCTTAGAAGAGGCATTTCTCCTTCCCTTGTTTCCCAGGGCAGAATGCCTTTTCTAAGATGAGATGCAGCACGTGTGTGCACATTTTTAAAAGGCTTTGTCTTTCAGAACGATTTTTATTCCCATATATCCAGGCTTAATTCATCATAACTTTCTGAACCAGATTATTGACTAAGAATTTAATAGTGGAGTAACAGCCATGCTTCTTTGGAATACCACACATTTAATGGAACTGGTATTAAAACACATTCACCCCTTTCAGTTCTAATAGCATTCTGGTGTGAAAGGCAGCTGCCATTCAAAAGTTCATATTGGAAAAGATGCAAACTGGAAAGGAAAGATTATACAAAGCAAAGAAATGACAGAACACATGGGCCCAAATCAGATGTTTATGAACTGAGGGTGTTTTTTTTTTCTCATTGTCAGGTAATTGTATTTTTATGTGTATGCAGAATAACCTTTTATGTATCTCTTAATGTGTTAAAGTTAGATAAGAATAATGTAAAATAGAGTTGTTCAATGTCTTTCTTTACTTTTAATGAATACCTGGAAATACATATTAAGAGATGTAGAGCATATTCTTATTTAAATTAGAGGTTTTGCATAGTAGAATTGTATATAACTACTCTTGTTTGAACACTGACTGGGTTGGGGACACCTCATTCTGTTGCAATTCTGTATTACTTATACCTGCATTTTATATGCTGCTGTGCAACTACACAAAGACCTCTCAAAGTATTTATTTTATAACTCAGTAAAAACCAAAACTACAAAATAAACTAAACAACCTGGTTACAAGTGAACATTGATTATCACAAGACAGCAACATTGAACAATTCAAATTAGTAAATCAAAATACTTATCAATTATTTGTGGACCATGATGATTTAAAATAGTTTCATTAAAACTGATCACTTTGAATTTTGGAAAAATAAGACATGTACATTTAGGAATATGTCTTTAAGTTTATGCACATGTTTACCCAAACATGTTTATCAATTTGCCTCTTGTGTGCCTATCACTGGGTGTCACATCTTTCTTTCAAAACCAATAAAAAGAATTAAATATTGTATTTAAAAAAAATTCCAGGAATTACAACATATTGTTTTTAGTTATTTATTTGTTTGTTATATTTATGTTCCATTCTTCCTTCAAGGAACTCAGTGTGGTTTATAATCCTCCTTTCAATTTTATCACAATAGTTCTGTATTATTTGGTTGGGGGCTGAGAGTAAGTGACTAGCCTAAAGTCACCCAGTGTGTCTTGTAGCTGAGTGGGAACTTGAACTCCTAGATGACACTCTAAGCCAGGGCTCCTCAAACTTTTTCACCAGGGGGCCAGCTGAAAGGTGCCAGTGCTGGGTGCGGGGCGGAAAGGTGGTGCTGGCGGCGTGTGGGGGCGGGATGCATGGGCACGGTGAGGCAAGGGGCAGGTGGCGAGGCGAGTTAAGGTGGGGGTGGGCACACAGCA